GCCAACCTAAATGAACAACTGTGCAAATTCAGTGTGCAGCGATGAACTCCACCTTATTCTTATGCTATTAAAGCCTAGTTCTGTGGATAGGTAAAGCTCAGGGGTCCGTCGTGCTAGGTTACACTACAAAGGGGTGCACGTGCCGAAAGATTTGAGGTCACCTGCTCTCTAGTGACACACGGCATCCTGTTGGCCGACGGTGTCTGACCAATGAGGAAGGTACTCTTCGGTGCGTGTGTGCACCTTAGCCAAAGTTTGAAACGCACCCACTTGAAAATGCTTATGAACCAAGTTGAAAATGCTTACGAACCAATTTGCTTCCTCTATTAACTAGCTTGACTCGGAAACGGTATGGTATCTTAAAATGACCCACTAATCACACAAGATTGTGCTTGGTTTATTAGAAACGTATTGCTTTCAGTTACTGAGCCTTGGCAGTGCCGTTCCGTGAAGACCACTGGAGAGGCTAAACAAAATGGCGTTCTTTCTAGCTGGTGAGTTTGAAAATTGGAACCGTGTCCTCGTATGAGTACATTGTCAGTATGGATACTTAGTGAATACGAAATAGCGCGAATTCCAGTCAACCCCAAACAGTTGAATCCTAGAGAATGCCAGTAAGAGTTGTTTGAGTGGCCCTCCTAACGCATGGCGGGCGTTTTTCAGCCATTCCGATAACAACCAGCTCCATCGATTGACTTCCTTCAATCGTTCACTATAGGTGCTTATCCTTCTTTCTATGTCTGTGGGCATGCAAAATGTGAAAGTTCTTCAGTAGTTTTCACTGGATTGCTAAACTGCTTCCTGGCCAGATAGAAACTGGGTGTTGCCCATCCGAAAACATTGCACACCCACGACGCGTTTCGATGTAATTTCATCTCATCAGGTGAAGGCAGCAAGCCTCAATCCCTCGACCATTGAAATAGTGGCCGAAACCTCTACCCCTTTGGCTACCGGGTCACATTGGGCAACGCTTCGCACAACGGTAAATGACTAATTGGATGGTCAAGTTTTGGACTACACGTTGTGTGGTTGGATTGCGACGCGCAATCTCAATGTAATGGACTGTGATTCACATTGCAGTGAACCTTAGTCACTGCGATCGCTGGGACCGTACTCAAAGCAGATAGAAATTGGGTGTTTGATATAGCGGAGGTAAGAATACTCCACCACTCCCCGTGGTTTTGTGAGTTTTATTCCACTCACCCCTATTCACCGCGTACTCTTTTACGGTTCCTCACATACGTTTCTATTACTTCACCTTTGTGACTAGCTTGGGTTGACACTGAATCTTATGCTTAATGGTTTTCCCCTTACTCTGTACATTTCGCTCGTTCGTGGGACATCGTATCGATCCTTCGCCCTGGGAATGACTAGCTTTGATTGATCGATTGTCAGCCTTTCTGTATAGCCTTTGTATATGCCGTAATTTGAATCATGTCATTGGGTTGCACACACATACGTTTGGTGGCCGGTTTGGCGTGCGGCGTGAACATTATTTTGCTACCCGGTCGTTGGCGTTCTCACTACGGTTAGTGGGTGGAAGCAGTTTTGTGGCTCCGACACAACAGTGTTGCCCACCCGTAAACACTGCACAACCACGACGCCTTTCGATGCAATTTCATCTCATCAGGTGCGGACAGCAGGCCTCGACCATTGGAATAGTAGCCGAAACCTCTACCACTTTGGCTACCGGGTCACGGTGTGCGACGCTTCCTGACCACTTGTTTGTAAGTATCGGCTGGCTGTGTAACTGTTGTCACGCATTTTTACTGCTCGATGTTACAACCAGTGTTTTTCGCTTGACTAACCTGTGCAGCACAATATCTTAACTGAACGCATGATTCATATGCTGTCCGATTTTGTCTTCCGGACGAATTTTGTTGGGAAGATATAATTAGCAACCAGAGGTATGTCGACTAGACGGGGTTTTTGCCGCATTTCATTCAAGGGCTGGCTGTCCCAATCGTTTGCTATTGGTCAAGTCCAGAGGGCCTTCACCGTCACTTTTATAATCCTGCACATTGATAATCTGTTAAGGCTAATGCGCTGCAATCATCCTCCTTTGCTATGTATGGCCTAACTAATGGTTATACCTTCACTTTTAACGACTTGTAGTAACCCGAAGATTTCCCCGATCCGCCTGAGTACGTAGTGTATGATTCATTGTACAAGTACTATTCCAGTTTGCAAGCAGCCGTATTTTGAACTCAATTGTTCTGATCGAGCACCGTGTTTACTGGATGCCTCGGCTGATCTCCGTCGCGCGACCGCGACGTGTGCTGCGTCTTTCCTCACCCTAGCTAGCAACGCACATCGGTGTCGTTTCTATAGCTCGACCAACAGAGAACCCTTTGTTGCGTAAAACTGGAAGCTTCCATGCATTCATCTACCTTGTGAAATCTCAATTTGGGCTCCCAACCAAGCATACAAAATGAAGGAATAAGGAGGGCAGTTTCATCAATTAAATCATTTTCATGTATTCATGAGTAGGGGATTTTGTTATATATAATTGTGGTTCTTCACAGCCAGTTTGTAAATCAGATAGTTGTTCACATGTCCGGAAAAGCACTAGACTGCAGCTTCAGCCTGTTGGGCATCATCAGTAGTACGCGTCCATCGGATCCATCAGGATCTGAACGCATGATCACCAACGGGTTGAGCCACCAGTCAGCAGCTTATGCCACTGCGCCACGAGGGACAGCTTCGGACCGTCATGATAAGGCGCGGTATTTCACACTTGGTTTGTAAATGATGACGGTCCAAAGCTGTCCCCCCTGGCCCAGTGGCATAAGCTGCTGACTGGTGGTTCATGCCGCTGGTGGTCATGGGTTCGGATCTTGATGGATCCGATGGACGCGTACTACTGATGATGCCCAACACGGTGAAACTGCAGTTTAGTGCTTTCCCGGGTATGTGGAAGACTATCTGATTTGCAAACTGGCTGTGACGAACCTCAATTATCATTTGCAATTGCATTTCCATTATCTAATTCTTTCGTTTTCTTTCTTATCCGTACGGTTAACACATCTTAGTTCATACTGTCTCTGGTAGCATTACTTTTTGTTTTACACACCCTGATCCCTTATTCACGCTGCATACTGTTGTGGTATATTGTACCTCGGAAGCAGATACGTTTCATCAGTGGCCAGCTTGTCTGCAGCTGAATTACCACCACACTTTGTGATGATAAACAAATGCAATCCTCGTTTGTAGCCCTAATATTCAGAGTTCTCTTCTGGCCGGACCGTTTGTGCTAAGCATACAAAGTATTCCGATGAATCCATGCTACGGAATGTACTGGAGCTATTGACGAACAGTCTTCTCATGATCTACGCATGTATGTATCGTCTAGTGTGTTCACAAAGTGGTCTAGTTTTTCAAAGTTGGACTTGGAGAATCCGCTGGTGGTTGGGTTACTACAAGCAACCTCTATTGAGGTCTCGGTTCACTTAGGTGGACTTCGGTCATTCCGATCAAAAAGACCGTAAGTATAGAAACATTATAGTGTTGCCCATCCCAACACTGGCACCCGAAGACCGCGGTTTCGTCCTGGTTGGGACTCAGCAGTTCTAGATAGCCTGAGTTGGGCTGAAACTCAGAGCCTAGTGGCTCATGGTTGACACCATAAGCACTATGCCACTGAGATCCACGAGCAACGCTTGGTCCAGCGGAAACGAATGCAAAGTTGGGCTTGGAGAATCCGCTGGTGGTTGGGTTGCTTGTAGCAACCCAACCACCAGCGGATTCTCCAAGTCCAACTTTGCATTCGTTTCCGCTGGACCAAGCGTTGCTCGTGGATCTCAGTGGCATAGTGCTTATGGTGTCAACCATGAGCCACTAGGCTCTGAGTTTCAGCCCAACTCAGGCTATCTAGAACTGCTGAGTCCCAACCAGGACGAAACCGCGGTCTTCGGGTGCCAGTGTTGGGATGAGCAACACTATAATGGTCTAGTTTTTGTATTCACCACAGACCCAAGTAATGCAGGGAGCTGTATACTTTGACGTTAGACACTGTGTTTGAGTAAAATAGTATAAAAATAACCATAGGTTTGGATTACAAATCAATGCGGTTGGACTTACTTGTTTCAGCAGGCACCATCTGGCTGTTTGAAAATGGGCGGCCCATAAGCTGACTCTGCACTGAATGTATGAGCGATGATTCCGTGGCGATCGTCAAAATTTTCGACTTTGGATACGTGTTGTAAAGGCGCCCTATCATATCTGTTTCGGCTTGCCGACCAAGGTTATCAGAAAATGGTTGATTGATTAATTCCGATCGAAGCCCACACTTTGAGTCAAACATGGCATCTGTACGGGAGAAGACAGAGTCTGTTTGTCGACTCGCTTTTTGTATTCCTTCCAGTTCTAATAGTAACTCTTCATGCCTCAATTGCTGCAGGGCATACCGTTTCTCTACCTCCCATATTTTTGCCTTTGAAAGTTAAACGAATTGAGGCAAAAATGTAGAGAGTAAATGACAACATCAACTATGATATAGGCGAATGAGAAACGGAGTCTTGACCTTATGATTTGGAGTAAGCCTAGATTAGCCCCCCCCTCCCGAAAAACTTGTTTTGAATTGTTCTTGCCTGCGTGTGAAAGCACCGCGACATGTAAACAACAATGAAGTTGAACAGTACAACTTGTTCATGCTAAGGCAGTTGAATAAGTTCTTTTGATGTGCTTTTATTCTTAAGAACTAATTCTCATGAAATTGACTTAGGCTAATTCTTTTCTTGGTATCCGGTAGATCGGTGTTCTCGGTTACAGACAAGCAACGCATGAAGGTTAGAAAACTTTGCAGCGTCCAAATTAATCGTTAGCCTTGGCAACCAAGGCTACCCCGTATTATTCAGTCCAAGTCCAATTCCTGTTTCATCTTACGATTGCCGGGAAATTTCTTTGCAAAAGGCAGTCTATACAAGTCGATTTTGTGTCCTGTGGCACTTTCGTGTCAGTACTGGGCCCAATGCTTTCGTGGGACTACATCCTATCAACGCAACGTTACGTCTGTAAGCACTTCAAAATCCAACTGGTGGAAGAAAGGAACATTCGTTTCTCCGTTCTTCATTCGTTTTCCACTCACGTCAGTCGAACTCATCACACTACTTTGAACCACAGTCAACCAACCCAATAAACCGCTACATTAAAGAAACTGTATAGCAAGAAACAGAACAGTGACACCACTCACACGCAAATTTTCCACTCCATTGTCATATAGGGTAGGGCTCCGTTTCTAGTAAAAAAAGGTAAAGCAGTTTTTGCAGACACTGAAAACCGAAGTGAGTAAAGACAACATTCACCAACAAGTGTTTCCACAACAGTTAGAAAGAACTGGTACGACAACGACCTCGAATACAACAATAAAGGTGACATGCTGACCTGCGTTTCGGATGGTAAACATCCATCAATTAAATGCGTGTTAGCGAGATTTTTGTCGAGAGAGCGTATGTGGCCGGCTTGCTGTTCCTCCAACGTTTCCATCAGAGAGGCATGCTCAAGGAGCAATTGACGTCTAGTTTCCGTCACATGTTGCAGCTTCTGTAGGAGAAACACAACATTGTCACCCTGATAATTGAATTGGATCCATAAGGTTTATTGAAAACGAACACAAAGAAACTAAGCTAGAGAACAAATATGTACGTGGCTTTAATCGAAACACGTTTGACGTGGACACGTTGTATACATCAGCTTTGATATAAATAAGGTAAGCGCTCCCACTGAAGATATTGAAAAATGAGCAAGACAATTAGCACCGACTGGATGGTATTCAACAAGGTTACGGTAATTTATGTATTTGGAGAACGCTTTTGAATTGATGGTACGCTGTACCAGCAGCACCAGTCACCAGCGACCGATAAATGCAAATGACTCGTGAGTTAGTTATGGACGCGTAGACTAGAAATTTACATAGTTTAAAGCCAAGTAAGTGTGCGGTCTTATCGTGTCACTAAATAAGTGGGGCAATTGGGATGTCCTCTACCGCATAGCATGAACGTGATTTACAATAAGCCGCTAAGTCGCTCAGTTTATATACGTCAACTGAAAGTCGAGGAGGACACCGCACACCAGTTTCTGATAGACTAGTATAATGAAACAACAGAATAAGTGATTTATTTCGGATTAAAATGTGAATGCTAACCAAGTTCCCTAGATGCAACTTGCATGACCAAAGATCTTAGCTTATCAAAACATGTGTGAATCGGTGGTCTGACTACCAGGTTTGCATGTTCCAGTCTGGTTACGTAATGCTTCATCCCAATAAATAACTTAGATCGTCATGTAATACCAGTGGTTTAATGCATCATCAAGTTTGAATTTTGCTAGCTTAGGAGCAGAAGTAACAGTACTAGGCAAGGTACTGCACGAAGAGGGAAAATGCTCCGGCGGCATTCCAACTGGCTACAATTTGTGACAAACTTTAAGTGCTGACCTTCCAGTGAGATGCTGTGGCCGAGTTCCCACAGGCGACGGCATGTGTGGTGGAGATCCAGTTACTGCACATGCACCTCCCCACAAGATCACATAATCAATATCCAGGTAAGTAACGGTTCCACTTAGTTTTGCCACTGACACTCATGTCCATGTGAACCAGCATGTTCTGCTGCGCCCCAGCTTACATCTCGCATCCATGGGAAACTTCGAGTTAAGGTACGTCTTTACCTACTCACCTTAAACCGAGCAGACCGTGCTTTGCGGACGTTCGCATACGTCGCTAGCCTCGGTATATAACCCAGGCTGTACTAGCCTTTGTTGGGTTATAAAAACACTCAGCGATACGTCAGTCTCCTATCCCTCTCCTTTTCCTGAGCGTTCGTATTGCAACCGTTTGGGAAACAGCTTCCTAAACTGTGTGCTTAGGTTCAGGGACAGAATTACTGGGGAACGGGCGATTCGTCCCGATTAAGCAAACCGTTACAACTGAGCCATTAAACTAGGCCCTTAAAAGTCTGAAAGGTCAATTCAGAATTATCCTGTAGATTAAGGATATCCAAAGTCAAGCCCGCGGGCTAAATACGGTCCAGGTTAAAATTTCAACTGGCCCGCGGCCTCATCATGAAGTAATAAATCCAAGCTTGGCTATTTTCATACAGACTGTATTGAACAGATTGCAAAAAGATAAGGACATTCTGAGTACAACATTCAATAGCATCAGATGCTAATAAAAATCAATGATGAACTGTTTATGTTTAACTAACTAGGAAAGTCAATCTAGTGTCTCTACTGAATAGGAATCAACAAAATCAAAAAATGTAGATATCAAGATTTTTGTTTCACACTTCACATTACAAAGTTGTAATAAAATTTTATGACTTCTAGTGTTTGTTATTATCTTAATGGCAGAATGATTATGGCCCGACATATTTTTACCTCACCAAAGGTGGCCCTCTTTGCGAAAAGTATGGACACCGTTGTTGTAGACCTTGATATTGTCCGCTGAATGCACTTAAAACTTAGAGTGCAAGTTGATGTGTGACCGGGCTGTTCCTATGTTTAGAAACCCTTCGTTGTGTTATCTTAGGAGCAGCAAGGTGGTGCTTTTGCGAGGAGCGCCAAACTTAATTGACCTACTCCACATATGGCTCCACCTAATGGTTGAGCATTTTTGGAAAAGCAGTGGCATTGCACCTGCCAAACACACTTCGCAAGACACTTAGGTGTTGGCTTTCCTTCCTCATGAATTTTCCGGGGTCCTGAGCGACCCAGACTATCTGGCGCAATCACCGAATTCATTATCATGGAGAGCACACTCAAACCTTTCGTTACTTACCTACATTCGTAGGTGTTGTGATGGCGTACGATCAATACTTTAGATTTGGCAGCGTTGGACAAACGCATGCTCTGAACTGGCCACTCGGAAGCCTTGTCAAACTCACCTTGCATTTCTATGCGGTCACCTACTGTTTGCAGCAATCCAAACCTAGAGATCAAACCAAAATAGTAGAAAATTTGTGATGATCGTTCATGAGCACCGGGAATAGCCGTAAACATATTACCATGCCTTGTGTAACTCCACATTACACGTCCTTCCGCTGATGCAAGATGCTACGAACTTACATATTCAAGTGACGTTAGGAGAGGAAGGCAAGTATCCAAGTCGGAACTGATCACTGATGCCATACCTCTGAAACATATGCAAGAAAATATCATGGTCTATGCGGCCAAATCCTTTGAGAACTCGAGGTAAGCAGTGCCGACTTCTTCCCCATCATCGACACATTGTCCAACTGGCACAGGCTAAGAAAAGATTCGTGTCGTACGTTGAATATTAAACTTAATGTAGAAGAAGATGGTGGCAGTTCAATGGTTTATCGTTTCCATGATTCTGTTAGCCGTAGGTAAATACTTCCGAAAAATGGCAGTGTCTCGCTCTTTCCAAGGAATGATTCCGCCTAACTGTCTCCGCATTCAGGCTTTAATCTTCTGAGCAAAGCTTATCTCTTGCCTCTGTTCAGATTAAGCCTTATGTTTCGCCCCATATTGTAAGTTGGCTGATAGTTTGCAATGGAACGGTTGAGCAGACGGATAATGTGGTGTTTGCTAGTAGTCTCGGAAATGATGGACACTAGTCATCGAAACAGCCCGCACGATCTGACTCCTGTAGCACGGGTCGCAGAGTCACGGTGGAATCTATGCGGTCCTACGCAAGCGAAGAGCATTACGCTATCAGGCAGAGGCGAACCTAAGTGACCCAGATAACACAATGTAGACACCACTTCCTTGCGGCCAAACTTGGCTGACGACACTGGCCAAGTGACAGAATTAAGCCGATGCCAGTCAAATGGACAGCACGTGAGACAACTGCCGCCCATGTGAGCTGAGCAGGGTGTGCCGGTCAGAAGGACGACGCAGTTAAAACGGTTTAACACTAACAAACCAACATGAGCGCGGGAAGACTGATGTGGAGTTCACTGATCACAGGGCGTGGCTGGTGCTCGCGGACCAATAAACATGAGTAGACGCTATGGATGTGACAGCGCGAAACGGCAACTGGTAGGCTGTCCCGTTGAAGGGGCACTTCGCATCTACTTACGTTGTGAATGAGAACTCCAATCTGAGGCAAAAAGTTGTTTTTCTGATTCATCGACGGGCAGACGCCAGTGATAAAAGGTTAAGATACAAAGGAATGAATGAATGTTTTATGCCTCTGTTCCGATATAAGTAGATCAATAATAAGACGGTGAGGCGTTGCTGTGTTATGTGCGCAGGACCCCTAGAGAAGGGCAATTAATTTGCTTTGATCTTTGGTAATGACCTTATGATTGCTTTTGTCAATTGTTCTATTTATATAGCCGTATAAATGTTCTGCTTTTATTGTGTTTGCGAGTGATGAGAACCATTGAATTGTTCATATATCGCAACCTGTCTTCACTAGACAGTAGATAGATCTACGCTGCATTGGTCACACAGACCGAGTGAGGTTACGTAATCCCACTGACGGAACCGAGATCAGAGTGAAGGTTAGCTACACTATTGTCTGACCAGGTTAGAGAGGGCGATTAAACCAACTTTTGCGAGTATAACGGGGATTGGAATTTTCGGATCGTAATAGCTTCTGCTGTGGCGAGCATTTTTGAACGCAGACTTCTCGACCTGCTCAAGGAAAATTGGTAGATCACAGTAAACGCATTCGGCAGGTAAACTCTGTAACCCGATACGAACAAGTGGGACGAAATTCTGGTTGTCAAAACGCGAGTGGCTTCGTCCGCCAACTATTCAGGACTATGTTCCTTAATGCAACGTGACAACTGACGAGGCGTTCGACCAAGCTAATTTGACCCACAGGTGCGCTCAAATCGACAGATTACCTAAGATGTTAGCTTTGATAGTCTGTCCTTGTTGCACACGGGAATAAGCTGGTTCGTGGCAAAGACAGCTCGTAATTCCGCAGCTGGAAATTGTTCCTTAGCAACTGTGTCAAGGTTTTGTTATTAGTTCAGCCATCGTGTCACCTGTTAAAACGAAGACAGATGAACCGAACATTTTTAAACCTATTCTTCAACGTACGATGCTATTTTGAGCTGCACGGTTCATAAACAAGAAACGTGAGCGCTTACCGGACAGCTCGGACTCCCTGATGTCTACAATAGAGAATTTGCGTTCACAAACACTGACCTAGTAAACGTGTCCGCATTTAATATGTTTAGCACATTTAACGGAAGTGGAGACGCTGGAGTTACTACTACTCTAGTCTTACTTTTATCTTCAAGTGGTCAATTAACCTTCTTAGGACAGGAAAACTCCAAGTAGCTGGGAAGCTTTCGACAAAGACCGACTCACATCAAAACACATTCTATCTTTCTGACCGTATTGCTGCAGTGTACTCCAGCATTGTACTTATGTTTAACTGACATTTTCTGTGGAATCAGCATGTATCGGTCAGAAGAGATGTACCATTTTTATCATGTCACGGGAACAAACTTCAACAAATGCACGCTTGGTTGGATCCCGTGTTTTGATTCACAGGTGAGGCGAAATCAAATAGTGGCATGGGTAACACTCTTTTGTCCTCAAGAATTATATAGTCCATTTTGTTCAATTGCACTACATAGTTAGATCGGTCCACTGCGGCGATGTTTGCCATACCAGTCGCGTAATTCCAGCGAGTTGTTGAACTGTTGGTTCACAAAATGTGGGAATGCCAGATCCTAGTACATCGCAACGTAATACATTTGGCCCCAGTATCAAGCGAAGTAGTAGATCTACGTGGCTGTTCTTTCGACTCCAATCCCTCCGCATGCGCCAGATTCTGACTTACATTTTGTTGTTACTTAGCTGCCTTCTTCACGCACAGTTAACAAGATGGCTTATATGGGCTCTTGAGCACTGGCCTACACAAGTAGTTCACTTTGTGAAGCTTCGTCGAAGCTAGACCCAGGCAGACAGCCATCGCACATCCAGGAAAGCACTAAACGGTCGCTTTTTCTATTGGGAGTCGTCAATGGCACAAAGGAAGTCGTTTCTCTGGGGGCCAGTCATGTGCTCTTCACGTTCCTAACAAAGGTGACAGTGGAGGATGAGCCGCACTGTATCGCAGCCAGATATCAGTCATGGCAGTCCGCTGCCGTCGCCCATAGCTCAGTACCAAAAATCGCTGACTCGTAAGTGTAATTCTGAGAGTTCCAATCTGGCAGGATTCAGCGGGTGCGCTCTACTGAAGAGTCCCAATAGGACGAAAAAACCGTCTGGCGATTTCCCGGATGTGTGGTGACTCTCTGCCTGAGTCTAGTTGCGAGGAATCTACACAAAAACCCAACAGCTCCCCATTCTACTTACAAGTAACTCAGTTCCTTACTGCTAGGGTACTTGCACCCATTGCCCGACGATGTTTAAGAAAACAACGAAATGGAAAGATGCCATACACTATTAGCCGAATGCATAAAGCGAAATAACGCCGGACATTTGTAATTACTTGCACGTGGATTGACTTCTGCCTTGTTCGATTACAGTTCTACTGCAGGGAAAATGATGACCTTATCTGTCGGCCATTCTTACCATTTCTGTATACCGTGGTTGTTTACTGACATTGAGATGTTTAAGTGCCTTGCTCATACTGTGTAAATTATCGGGCGTTACACATTTCTTCTTGGTCGTTTTGGTGTATGTCTGTCGCTCAGCAACCCATTGAGAAGAATGGCCTAGCCTGTAGTCATCTGCCACCCGCCAGATGTGTCCTTTCGCCATGCGCTGTGCGCGATTCTGGGCTTTCAGCGCAGGCGTTAATTCCGCCTGCGTTAAACTGTACCGATGCACAGTATAATTTTCGTTTTGGTGCAGTGTCACGTAATCTCTCAACTGAAACATGCGGGATACAACCGTAGCAATACTTAAATATATTAGTGGTGGATTCGTGAGTAATGTAATTTTCGTGGAATTTTGCACAATAAGCTGCCTCGACGGGGAATCGTACCCCGGACCCACGGATTACCGGTCCGCTGCTCTACCACTGAGCTTAAATATATGCCCGTTGGTGGATATATTTTACGCCCGGATGCACAACACGAGTTACCGAACTTCCGTTTCCGACCTCACTAGTTTATGCAAAAGCTTGAGACAACTGACAGGCATCTGCACCGTGGTTAAAGCATCGTACGTTTACTTATGCTTCGGCCTACTGCCAGCTTACAGGTTGTGGTGTGCGATAGACACGGTGTACACCAGCTATTCATAAAGCGCGCTGTTCACCTAACAGCCAAAGTTAACACTATCATCGATTTCTAAACGTTTGAGATTTAGGTAAATTAAAAGCGTATCGTAGCGCAGTCCAAACTCATGGTGGGTACTCCGAAACACAACCGATAATGTTGCCCAATTGGTTATATTAACAGGAACTAGGAGTGACGGAATTGCATATTTCGAGCTACGGGTGCGTTGGTACACATCATTTTCTCACTTTCGATTCACTTCATCGGCCTGGATGCAATTTCTCCTTTCCTCTATAAGAGATCATTGAGGTAGGCAGTCCATGCATACACTGGGGAGGGGCAGTTAGCACTGAAGTTTTCAAGTTTGGTTTGTACTACTGTCATGTATCAAGGACGCGTTGTCAGTTTGTTAGGCGCTGGTTAGTAAATTCCATTAGCTGTGTTTTCTACCACAGATCAACGCAAACAACCTGTTTCCTCTGATAGATCAACTGCTTGCTGTCTATGTGTCGCTCGAGCTTATCCTCAACTTTTAAGATCAACCGAACCGTTTATACCGTTTAGCGTTATCAGCAGCAGGCAGTTTTTCACGCCCAGATCAGGCCAGATGCCAGCCCCTAAGCCCGAAAAACAATGTGATTGTTCTCCTTTGGTGATAAACTGTCTGAAAAATTTTGCACAATGAAACTTATTAAGGGAAATCTGAAAACTTCGTTATTGAATGAGCCTATTTTTTATAAAAGAAGTAAAAGATAAACATTACGATCCCTTGAGGTATATCACTAAGCGATGCGTTCTGTCTGTGCATCGAAAACCTACTAAGGGAAGGAATTGTTAAGGGAATCGGACACACAATTCTTGTGCTCTACGTCTACGTGAGCTGTCAAAGCTCATAGTTCAGCATTTAGTTCACGCAACCAGCTGACGTCAGTAGTTGTGTTGCAGTCACCCAGTAGCCAAAAGGCATCACCGCCTATGTTTACTTGACTTTGCAAAATGATTCACTTTACGAATGGTGCCTGAATATTCCTTCATTCGAAGAAGTGTTGGTGAGGCAAACTGTCCTAAACTGACACCATTTGCTGTGCTGCATCAAGCCTTCCTCTCCATCTTGTATTCGATGTGAGGGTATACTTTATATCCAGTTGCATGGAGATGAATTACAAATGGATGGTGCATGGAATCACGAGCATTCTGCAGATGCTGGCTTCTTATATTGGCTCGCTATGCATTCTCCACTTCATCCGAGAACCTGCCCATGTGCTTCATCCATACCGCTGTACCCGCAAGCAATTACCCATGGAAGTACAACCTCCAATTTTATCTCACCAGAGAGCAAAAGAGCTTGATCTGGGGACTTCAGGACAGTGATATTCTAACTAACGACAATATTTTCTATCCGCAATGATGCTTGCATGCTACTCGCTTTTTATTCTGAATAATCTCTGGCTTTATAACATTATCCTGGCTCGAATGACGTATGTTCTTGTGGGGACATTCAGCTCAAACGTATCACAATTAAAATACTTATCTATAGACCGAACTTGATGCAGTGATGAATTTTACTAACCTTCCAACCTCATACAAATTGTCCTAGCTGAGAGCCGTTAGTTGTAGCTAATCCCGCGAAGATAAAGCCAGTCATCTCTTCAGCTGAAATCCGCTGTCCACAGGTGGCTTGTTACCCACAGGTCCACGGTTCAAGTCTGCCTGTGCGTTGTATGGCTCGCAGTATCCTTGGTTTTTACGAGGCTGGTAGTGTTCGTGTGGCAGCGGAGCGTCGGTGCAACCTACAGGTGTGCTGCTTCGTTCCATTTTTTCACCTCAATTTCTTCTTGCCTGCCTACTACTACACTTTGACGATGACCTGCGCTGACATTGGGGACGAGTGAGCTTTACTATGCGGAATTTCGACCAACCACCTCAGGTAGAAAGCTGAATCTTGAATCTTCTGTATTTTCCTCCTTCCCTTGCCACCCAGGGCAGGGCGTCAAAGCTTCAAAACACACCCTTACATCCGTGGACATGAGGCGAACCCACGGCAGCGTACTACACTTCCGCTTTGCTGTGGTATTCAATGATAATACACACTGTCTTTTGTTTCTAGAAACACAAGATGGGCGCATCTGTCAGCTGATGACATTTAATTCGCAAAGTAAAGTAAAGCCGGCCAAGCATCACCACTCACCTGAAGGATGCGCTCCATTCGAGGCTGAGGAATTAGCCACTTTTCGCTCTTAGGTCCACACTTTACAGCTAGACCAGATGTAACTAAGGCTTTCACGGTTTTTCATTGATCTGAAATTAGCGAAAAGATAACATATGCAATTACTCTGTTTGTCAGTTGCGAAAAGAGAGCATAAAGTCGCAGTTGTTTATTTCTGTGACACAAGACTCACCATTGATACTTTAAGCTACTATGTATGTAATATGCATATGCATTGTGCGCTAAACTCGCTGGACCGAGGGAGATCAGTATATACATGGGAGAGTGAAAGACTGCAAGTAAGCAAAGCACTACTAGTTCCACATGAAAACAATTGCATCTTTTGATTCGACAACAATATCTAAACAGTCAGTTAGTGCAAGAACTTGAGTGCGATATAAGGCTACCCATCTACCCATCGTGCGGTCGCACAAAAAACTGTCCTCCTGCGTTATCCGCCTCCAAATCTTTGGATTTATTCTCACAGAGACCTACGTGCCATCATTCGATTTGGCTTCGCGAGCTCCTCCTACCACTGTTCATCTATTGGATCTATCATTCACGGATCACCAGCAAACTGTGCTCTTGCAACTTCGAAGTCAACCGTATTTGAAGTTTATCGGATGTTTTATTTTTCCTCTCGTCGCATAAGAACTCTTGTGGTCTTATTTTAAAGATCTTTTTGAGAGTCACCCGATCAGCTTACTACCATTCCTTCAAGTCGCTCTACAAAGCGATAGTCGTCAATTTGATCCGTCCTTGGAACTGCCACTGTCGTCATTAGACAGTATTTTCCAAGTCACCTTGCTTTGCCTCAGTCCTACGTCCACCACGGCCTACCCTCTACCGTCTGGATCGATAGCACGCACATCCACCCCAAAGAACGCGTGATTCATCTGGCCTCGACACGCCTGGACCTGCTGACCTCGAACCAGCGCCGATCGCCACGCAACGGTGCGTCAGTATCTCCATCCCATTCCTACCCCTACTGAGAACATGTCTCGTATGAAGAGCAAATGCGAATCATGTGCCAAAGTCGTAAAAAGTGGTCTGGTTTGTACCATGTGTTTGAAAACATACCACACTACCTGCCTTGGGAAGGCGTTCACGAAAGCCAACACCGCAGACGCGTTTTGGTTCTGCCAAGTATGCGAGTCTATTCCATTTGTTAGCTGTCTATCTGTGCTACTGAAGAGGTGTGAAAGACTAACCGAAGCAGTCGAGCAACTGGTGAGCGCCAGAGTTACACCCATGGGAGGGAACGGGCCTGCACTTGTGAGTGAAAATAACACCCCAAACTCCCTAGTCAGGCCGAAGAAGCGAGCCCGGCGTCCCAACCTAACCCCAACGACTCAGCCTCCAGCAGTATCAACTCCATTCTCTCTCCCTCGTATAAGTAAAAACAGTGCCTGCAGCGCGCCTGCCTCAACTTCTGTACTGTGTGCTGCACCTAGTAGTCTGTTCGCTACACTCGAGACTGTAAGCTACAGTCAACCAGAAATGGTGAACCACCCGGGAACGTACGCATCGGTTGCCGCCAAGCAAACACCGGAAAGAGCACCGGTAACCTTTGTGCCCGGACTAGAGAAAACTAAAGTGGCGCAGCACGGATGGCACACACCAATGCCTTTCACAAATTCAACAAAAACACCAGATACCAAGCCTCCAAATCCAAAACCAGTAGCCACCAGGCGCAACCATGGTGCCCTAAATATTGTATGCACTAATGTCCCCGAATCCAAATCTAATACAATTAAGGGTAAGTTGACGGACGATCGAAATCAGTGGGATTCCATCTGTACGTCGATCGGTGTCCATGCTAATCCCACGACATTAAGAAGAATCTCGCGCCACCCAAACGCGTTGCACTACGGCGAACCCCGGTTACTTCGGGTAACACTAAACTCAGCAGACGAGACTGAGGCCGTTCTGCTGTCTGCGAATCGTCTCCGCAACGACTCAAGTGGAGTGCGCATACTACCCGAAATCCCGTGGAAAGAACGTTCAGGGGATCCCGCTAACAAAGAGAGTTACAGAATAAGTCAAAATAAGAAAACAGTGATTGCTCACGGTGTTCCTGAGCTTACTGCCTCCTCTTCCGACGATGCCCAGACGCACGACCGCGAGCAATGGCACTACATCCGGGAGGTTCTTTCTCTCGAAAATGTGGTGGTCACCTCGATGACAAGGATCTCCATATCACCAAACTATAAAGGGTGCGGTCCCAGGCTCTTAAAACTTGTGTTACAGTCAGAACTAATGGCACAAACCGTACTAGCGAACTGGGTTAAATTCCGTTGCAGATTGCCAACAGAAATTCGTCTGAAAGCAGCAGGAACACCCACACCTTTTAATGACAATTCAGTAGAGGCACAACACTTAGTGAAAACGCCAACTGCAGGACCCGACTCGGGGACGGTTTCAAGAGTAGCCATAATATCCGGAGGGGCGCAGCAGAGCACGAGCAAACAACGGGATTCGGAGCATCTGATACCTGCCTATATATCAAATACTTCTCGAGAGTATGCAACCCATCCAAAAAACGATTAGCCGCCGACCCTTTAATGGTCGGCGTAAACTCATTTGTTTCATCCATCCAATCTAACACACTTTTGGTCTCCGAGAATCTCTCATGCATGTACACAAATGCCCAAGGTCTACTCAGCAAATTAGCTGAATTAAGACTTCGACACGCGTCTGCAGCTTGGGACCTTATCGCTGTCACCGAAACGTGGCTGCGCTGCGAGATAACCGATGCTGAAATTGCACTAACGGGCATGTCCGTTATCCGGAAGGATCGAACCAGCAGAGGTGGTGGGGTAGCCCTTTATTTTCGTAACAACATGCAATGCGAACGCATAAACGATTCGGAAACCGACTTACCTGACGCCATTTGGTGTAATTTCCGACTGAGAGGGAACGATCTTGGCCTATTGATTGTTGTTTACCGCCCACCCTCGTCTACTCCTGAGATGGACTGCAATTTGATGGCTGCATTGAAGCACGTGATAAACAGGAAGTACAGTCACATTCTAGTCACCGGTGACTTCAACTTACATGCCCTCGAATCCCAGGCCACACCAGGAGAGCAATTCAAAGCGGATTTGCAAGATCTGGTTTCAGACTATCCTCTTTATGGCCACATCACTACGCCCACCAGATTCAGGGGAACTGACAGACCATCCATTTTGGACCGAATATTCACCAATGAAGAATTAATGGTCGAGAGAGTGATAACCGATACTCCTTTGGGCCGCAGTGATCATGCGACGCTATTGTTTCATTACATGTGCTACGCGGATTATCCTAAAGAGCATGCCGAGGAATATCGTGTCATAACCAACTATGAAGACCTGTCCGACCTAATTGATGCAACCAGCTGGTCGTTCTTAGCTGAATTAACGCCTGAGGTGGCCTGCGGTGAATTCGTCAACATATTCACCAAGCTCGTGGCACGGACATCTGAAACCAAATGCTACCGGACCAAAAGGATGAAGTCCTTCGTAAGGAGCAGGACACGTAAGTGCATGTCATTAAGGGACTCGGCATGGCACACCTATATAGCCTCCCCGAACGATCATACCTGGGATGTCTACACAATACACAGAAACCACTGTGTCAAACTCGTTCGAGAGGATAAACTTAAGAACCAACAAAGTCTAGCGGAAAAGTTTAGCTCCAATCCCAAGCTGCTATACAGGCACGTAAACAATTTGCGCCGTGTTAAGCGCGGTATTCCTGCCCTGCACACAGCATACGGTTTAGCCCAAACCGCACAAGAGGCAGCCAATCTTCTTGGACAACAATTTGGCCGTACCTTCCAAAGCGAGCAATCACCGTACATCCTGCCTAAGCAGATAACGCCGCCATCAGGGCTAAACCACATATCGTTTACCTCCGCAGCTGTACTGAAGAGGCTGATGTCTCTGCGCGAGTTCAGCTCCCCGGGTGCGGACGGCATTCGACCGAAGGCGTTGAAAGTTGCTGCCATGAGTTTGGCAGGACCATTAGCAATTTTCTTTCAACGATGTATGAACGAGATGCACGTCCCCACGATGTGGAAGCACGGAATCATCACGCCTATCTACAAAAGTGGCAGTCGTGCTGATCCAGCAAATTATCGCCCGATAACACTCCTTCCTGTGATCTCCAAGGTTATGGAGTCCATTGTAGCTGAGGCTTTAATGGGGTACCTGGAGAACAACCAAATTCTCGTTCCGGAACAGCATGGATTTCGCAGAAATCGCTCCTGTACAACTAATCTCTTGATTGCTCGTGCAAACTGGACGGAATCTGTGGACGCTGGTGTTGGAATCGACGCGGCCTACTTGGATTTCTCAAAGGCATTCGACCGCATAGACCATCGCATTCTCCTCCACAAACTCCAGAAATATGGAATCGGCGATCCTGTTCTGGGCTGGATAGGAGACTTTCTCCTACAACGTCACCTGAATGTTAGGGTTAGGAGCAACCTATCAGAATCCATCGAAGTTCAGTGCGGCGTACCTCAAGGCTCGGTACTTGGACCCCGCCTGTTCCTGGTCTTCATAAATGATCTCGCGAGTGTGCTGTCTTCTAACTGCTTGCTATTTGCTGATGACCTAAAGGTATGGCGCACTATAGCTGAAGTGGAGGATCACGCATTGTTACAAGAGGACCTGGACAAAGCGTACACATGGTCCATCGACAACATGCTGCATTTCAACGTCACCAAGTGCAAGGTTCTCAGTATACGACACAAGAGTTTGCACTGCTACCGCCTAGGATCAAAAATTCTACAGCGAGCTTCTCACGAGTGCGATCTCGGGGTGATAGTTCAAGATGACCTCGGTTGTTCGAGGCAGACTGAAAAGGCATCTAAGAAAGCAAACCAGTACCTCGGCCTTCTTCGCAGAGCCTTCGGGAAGTTTGACCCTTCGATCTTTCCAAAAATGCTTAGCGCGTACGTGAGGCCGCACGCGGAATACGCTATCCAAGCGTGGCAACCCTGGCTCAAGCACCATCTCACCGCGCTCGATACTGCACAGCGTAGGGCAACGAAGAGCGTCAGAGGTTTGACCAGCCTCCCCTACCCACTCAGGCTGAAGACCCT